GACATTTTTTCCGCCTTTTGTTTTTATTCGTACACCTTCTGTACATTTTGGGTCTGCAGTCATTAGTTCATACACCAGTAAATGCACAAGGAAAAGCATACATAATGAAATGAAATTACCTATAATGATAATGCTTATGCTTCCTATATATAGAAGTGACTTGCATAATGGCTTAGTTTAAATTATTTATCTCTTAATTTTACAGTAGTTATGTATTTGCCCAAAAAACGTTCTTAGCTATTCTGTAGAATAACGTAGATTTTTTTTCCAAAAGAAAGATAACACCACAGGAAGTGTATGAGAGATAAAATTGCTTTGTTTCGCGTGTGTTCAGTCACAGCCAAAATGTTTGTCTTTTAGTATCTTTTCCAGCATGTCTCGAATACCGTTTCGAACAGCTATGTGAACCTTTCTGTATGGATTAGGAAGGTTTCGAAGCTTCACTCAAGATACAACTTCAGTCCGTGACAGCATTGTTTACATATTTGGTTTATCATTTCTATAACCAGTTACGTATTTGCTGAACGTGTCTGCTGGTAAGTACATATTACAATAATCTTTGTTTTCTTTTCATTTTCCGTATGAGTAACGTAGAATGTTCAAGAGAGAAAGACTGACAAAGGATATACGACAGAGTGAACGAAGTGAAGGAAAATTTAATACATGGGAAGATTTAAATAACAACAAATATATTTACAAATATACCATCTCTGCAACGACAAAGTTGAAATGAAGCATAATAAGAAAGGAAAGGTAAATAATGCTATTTGATGTCACACGAGACTTAAAGCTATGCAACTGATTTTTCTCAAATCTATCGCCAGAAGAGGTGTCTAGTCTAATCCGAAACGTCATGATTTATTGCCCGCTTCTTAGCCTTGTATGGCAGTGCTTTCAAAAAGTCTTTCATACCAAAAGCAAAAAACGAGTACTCACCTTGCGACATGGCAATCCATAAAGGGGAGAAAGAGAGGAAAATAAATATGTAAGAGTAAACAAAAGCGAAGATGGGAAGTAATAAAAAGATGAGATAAGGTAACGTGATGGAGAAAGTTGGTGCGATTTCGAAGAATTGAAAGAATTAAGAAACATTTGATAATGATTATATCATATTGGCAAATGCGAATATGTATGCGTATGAGAAAAATGGGAGGTTAGCGTAGATATGATAAAGAGGAACACAAGAAAACAAATATGTGAAGCTAACAAAGCGTTTGTCAGAACATATATTAGAGACGTCAGAAGATAAATTGGTATAGACAGATGCCTCGGCTTTGCTACGTCATGTATTATGGTCCCTTATCTCAATTGACTGAGGACTTGTTGCGTATTCCTTCGAGATTTGACCTTGACGGGAAAAATGCATATAAATCGCTAGTACCAGTTATAACCAGTTATATCGGGTGGATACTGCGAAATCCGACTTCTAACAGATTGCCAGCATTGAGAAGTATGTGGCTTTTACATTGCCAGAGCGAATCGTTGGAAAAAAAACACCTGCTGGATATCATGCAACTTTGCAATCATTGGATCGCCTTCTTTTTTAAGATATCTCATCATCCTTCTCTATTCCTTGGCAGACTCATCCAACTAAGTACTCTCGTCTCAACATTCACACGTTCTCACCCAATTTTAATTCTTTGAACACGGGTACCTAATCACCCATACGTATTACTATGCACGGTCTTGGCAAACAAGTGTGTGGTACGAAACTGAGGAATTTTTAATCCTTACATTTTTTCCTCCTGTTTCGAGGATACGAAGCTAAAACGTGTACGATATCCAAAGTAGAATATCGTGGTATATATATATATGAATTACAGATATTACCACAATCTCCTATTGTTGAATTATTAACACATTTTGTCAAGGAAATGCGAGAAAATGAAGCTTGAAAAACATCCACAGTAGAAATCAAAGAATTGTCTTTCTTCTTTTTTATCGCAGAAAACAATACTCTAAAAAAAAAAAAAGAAAAAAAAAACACTCACAATCTTCTGAAATCTTCCAAATTTTCGATTTTGTATAAATACATCTAGAGGCCAAACACACAGCAAGAAATGCACCCAAAGGTTAATGCACCTGAGTTCTCAAAATTTTATAACCTGCTCGATCTCCCATTTCCCCCGCACTTCAGAAATATAAAAGGGAATTACACATTGTTGTCATGAAACCTTATTCAACGAACTTCATTCCTCGTATCAGACAAAGGTTAATGGAATTTGCAACTTTCGCACTTTCCCAAGCCAAGGTTACACAAAATATAAGATTGCTCAACGGTAACTTGGTGGTCCGTTACGATAATTTGCCAAAGGTGCCAAAGTTATTTGCGATTGATTAAATGTTTTCTTAATATGTTTAAAGTGTTTTAAAGATGTTTTCTGTCTAACTTTTATTTCGAGAAATCATATTGAATTTACATAACGTGTGAAAGCAAGAGCAAGATCTTACATGATTATTGCAGCAAGAATAATTACTCTGGAGTAACTATATATATATATATATATATATATATATATATATATATATATATATATATATATATATATATATATATATATATGTGTTGTGCGACACACACACACACACACACACACACACACACACACACACACACACACACACACACATATATATATGTGTGTGTGTGTGTGTGTGTGTGTGTGTGTGCATGTGTGTGAGAGGAGAATTGTATGAATGTATAATTAGAACAGGATGAAAACATTGGAAGCTGCGTCACAACACCTGACCAATTTGAAATGAATGTTCAGTTGGAAAGTATATTGCACAACGCACGCCATATATATCGTGAGGACTCTATTCATCAGTACAGTTCTTGGCCGAGAACAAGTGAATTATAATGTCTTCACTCGTGGACAACTTCCATGTAACGGTCCATTGCCAATATCTAGTACTCAAAAACCCACTTGTTTCTTTTTTTTTTTTTTTTTTTTTTTTAGATTTCACGTTTTGGCGGAGTTTTAATTGATCTTGACTGAAGACATTAAGATTGTCCTTCCATTGAATATATCAACTGCCTAAAAATAGCCCGCTATCTTTAGCATTGCACCAGAGTAACGGTGAATATTCGTAGCAATAGTAGAAATTTGTTGACCTTTAAGACAACAGCGGGTTGTTAGGCGATTTCCGGGTATTTTTTTAAAGAAGACGAGAGATAAATACCAGACTAAATACCAAATACCAACTTCTCAGACTCGGAATTAGTGCAGGAAAAGGATAAACCAAATACCTTGCATTCCACTAGGAGGCCCAACAGAGGGTAACACTGGCTTCATTTCCTGGGCCATGACTACCGTGTCTAACCCTTAAGGTCGAGAGTCTCATGCTGTGTTCCGGGAGTGCTACAAGCCCATGCCTCGAGTGACGGGGGAAGTACAAAAACTAGTATAGCCTTGACCTCCCCCGCACTTTCTGTACTATGTAGAGGGTTTAGATTATAATTAAGATGTTTTAAGCGCTTCAGTCGAGCCTGTTATGATGTCATTCTTCTTTCTATTTTTTTGTAAAGAGTTACATCATTAATTGTAGTATTTTTTTCTCGTTTTTTTAACATAAGAATCGGGAAATGAAAGTTAATGAGCGTGTTTTAGCAAGAGTTCCTTCTTTGAATATCTCGGCTTGGATAAGATCGTTCCTGGTGGTGTTAGAGTCCAATGGTATTAAAATGAAATTAATATTAAGGCTGATATTAAATGTTTATATGTTTACTCATCAAAATTCTGTTCTGCACTTGAAGCACATTAATTACGACATATTAATTTATAATCTGACGCCCAACGTATACAGGTAGTAAAGTTATTATTCCCGTTATTATAACTTTCATAACGTTTTATTCCATTTAGCATTGGGGTAGCAATGGTTGTAATGACAGTGTTATCATTACTCTCTTGAGACTGACGTGGTAATTTCATCATGTTGCTTCAGACGTCTAGTAGAAGCATGTTATTGATTTTATGTAATCGAGCCCTCATAAACCCAGCTCTATTAAGCATATTGAGAGAATGGGCCTTCAATTTTCCACTTGAACTTAAATCCTAGATAAATTCGAACCTATTGGTAATAGCTTAAGTCCTGAACTTAGAATCAGAAACGCTGACGAACTTTTATTTTTATCTTGTTTTGAAACCGTCATTTATTTCTTGATTTTTGTTATGCATTTATTTGTTCTCATTCGGTTATTGATTAGAATTCTTCATTTTCTGGTTGTTATTATTAAATTGTTTATTTTTCTATTATCTTATTTTTTACTGTTTGTTGTGATTTTTCGTTATATTTATAAAAAAATAAGAAAATTGCCTGTGATGAAACGTCTTGTTTACGTCCCCCCACCGGATGCTCTTCCTTCCCCCACTGTAATAACATGGTAAGTTTTTGTGATGAACAGTAAGCTCGTCTTCTTTGTAATACTAGGCAGTTAGCTTTAATGATTATGTACCTGGGTCAAATTACAGTTTAGATGTGTATTGAGAACTCAAACATGTGTATTTTGATTCTATTTTTTCCCCTGAAGTGTAGCACAGTCAGATAAAACAAACTGTTCCGGTCTGCCTGTCTAACAATTGGAGAGGACTTCACAGAACTCCAGCCTTGTCGCTTTGTAGATGAACATAAGTTACTGATCTCTAGTCCTGAATATTTTGCACGCGTTCATACCAAGTTCTGGGTAGAAGGCGGATGAGGTGGTGGTGGTGGTGGAGGAAGAGGAAGAGGAGGAGGTGGTGGTGGAGGTGGAAGAGGAAAAAAAAGGAGGAGGAGGAAGAGGAAAGGGAAAAGGAGGAGGAAGAGGGAGAGAAGGAGAGTGAGAGGGAAAAAGAAGGAAAAGAAGCAAAAAGACCAACAAGCTGAAGCAGAAGGAGAACAAAAAGAAGAAGAAGGAAGGGGTGAGAATGAGAATCAGGATTTTAAAAACAAATCAAAAGGAGAAGAAGAAAGGGAGGTTGTACTCGTCATCATGAAATACTGCATACATACAGTGGCCTTAAGCTGCACTGCGCGTGTGTTAGGGACGACCCCATGATTGGCTGGCGCGAGGTGGGCCTGGCGGGCGAGTGAGCGACGCCGAGAGCCTCGCGGGAAACTTCAGCAGTTGCTGCCTTGCCGTCGCAGAGAGAGGTCGTAGTTCTCTTATCTCCGGTAAATATCAACAAGTAACAGTTGGGATTTACACTTGTTGAGAACATCAGCTTTACGCTGTATGTGTGTTTGTGTGTGTGTGTGTTTGTTTTTGGATTGGTTTTATGAATACGGGAAGTTTCATAAAATTGCACCAGCAGAGAGGATTTTGATATATTTTAATATATTCTGTCGGATTTAGACTTAAACTTTACAAAATGGTAACTTGTACTTACAGTTTCCATAACCTTTTGGAACTGAATCGAAAACATCACCAACTGTGTCACAAAATTCTTTCAAAACCAGTGCAGAAATGGGAAAAAGTATGATCGTGCGGGATATAAAGTAAAGTAACATCATCTCATCAACAGTGAGAATATGAGATGATAAATATATATAAGGAGGTTACCACACGCGTTACAAACTAAAAAAAAATATAAATAACAACACCCAAGTTCAAAAGAATGAGATTTTGGGGACCCGGGGAGCGCAGGGGAAAAGCCGCGATCTGTGAGTGGAAAGTTACCAGCGGCGGGGAGGCAAAAAGGGGGAAGGAGGAGGGGAGCGAGAGAATGGGGGGGGGGCTGGGAGACGGGGGGGGGGTTGCGTGACGAGCCTGCGTGCGTGTGTGAGTGTGAAAGGGGACTGCGACCCCCTCTTGGAACCCCCAATAGCTGCTGGACCCCCCCTTCTCTCTCTCTCTCTCTCTCTGCCCTATAACGCTCTCTACTCCTCCCTCAAATACTCGTAGCTTGGCGCGCCCACCCACGCCTACCTCGCTTGGGGAAAACTGTATTTATGGGCGTGATGAAGAGGCGTTGGGGCGGAAATATTTTGATGTGAATTGTTGCAATCCTTGTTCATTTCTCTCCGGGTTTAGTCAAGTAGTAATAATCATTCGCGAGTGGTAACACAGGTGGAAAAAAGTGTATTGTCAACTCATTTCTGACACAATGGTTGAACGCATATGTCACGAAAGACACGTAAAGGTAAATAACTTTATTTGTTAGAAATAAGGCTTAGGATCTAGGCAGTTGTTTGTTAATGTTATAAAGGCCTTTAGATGCCTAATAGTATGATAGATTCAATGTGCTTGTCGCCAATAGATTGATCATTTTCGATTCCAGCGATATAATTTTTATGACTATTGCGTGTGTAACTGTGCATTGGATATATGTATGCATGTATATAAGTACATGTATATATGTATGTGTATGTATGTACTTGTATATATGATTATGTATGTAAAAGTATGTATTTAGAGTATGGATGTACACTATATGAAATTAATATAATACATATGTTATATATATATACAATATATATATATATATATATATATATATATATATATATTATATATATACTATATATGTATGTATATATTAATATATATATATATAATATATATATATATATACAGTATATACATATATACTATATATGTATAACTATATGACCACACCACACACACACACACATATATACACACGTATATAATACCATATATATATATATATATATTAATATAATATATAATGTGATTATATATATATAGTATATATATAATATATATATATATGTATATATTAGATATATTATATAAATATATATAATATAGAATGTGTATATAATATTCATATATAAATTTACACGCGCGTAAGTGTGTGTACACTATGTGTGGTATACATATATACTTGTACATTACATAGTATTTTTTTTGTTTAAATTTCTTAATATTCACATAATTTTATATTATATATATATATATATATATATATATATATATATATATATAATATAGATGTATATAATTTGTGTTAATTGCGTAAATGTATAAAAGAGTGTACATTAAAGCTCCTTGCTTGGAAAAACAACACAACGATAACAAACGCAAGCAAGTGTATTTTTTGTTTTTCATTTTACTTCATTTCTACGCGAGAAAATAACGGACATGAACAATAACATACAAAAGTCTACGGAGTTGTAACGCCACATGCCGCGTTCTACTTCCGGAAAAAAGTGAAACTTCTCGATAACGGTAACAATTTTATAATACATTTACGTGAACAAATAGAACAGATTACGCGGTAACTTTCTTACAAACACGCCATTTTAATGTGGAAAAAGACACACGTTGTTCCAAACTTTCTGATTTGAAAAACGTTAACTGCCCTGAACTTGAGGTCATGTGGTTCTGTTTGTAAACACGGTGCCATGACTTCCCTGATGACATGCCAATCATTCACCGTAGGGATGCTGGAATGGCAACTTCAAGTCTTCTTTTTTCTTTTTTGTCTTGTTTTTCATATGTAAAAGTAGGAAGGGTAATGGTTCTATAGAAGACTAAAATATGTCTCTTGTTAGCTGCAGAAGATATGATAACAAGGTCATTGTCGAAACAGACAAACTTTGTTATTATTTTGTTGTTATTGTTTATTTACAGTTATTTTATTATGGAAGTGTTTAATTATAATGTCCTTTTCTCTTTCTTCCACAGGGTCTAGCGTGTTGCATCATAATCTATCTAACGGTTGCCTGCATCCAGCCATGTCTTGTGGAATGGTCCAAACTGACAACTATTTTGCATCCAGGTATAAGATCAGATTGTTTTCTTTTTGGTTTATGGAAAATTCGACAGCTGATGATTTTTATAGGTTGATGAAAACATGAAATTTAGATAATGATTATAACAATGAAAATGAGGATAATGATATTATGACTTCATTAATAATTTTGACATAATATTATTCACATTAACATGTTATTTTACTCTAAAAGACACAAGAATTATACCACATTTTAAACAATAAGACTCTTTTTACTCTAAAAGCCACACAAATTACCCCACACTTGATACAGTAATGAGGCTTTTTCACTCAATATGCCATAGGAATCATGCCTTTCTTTCTCAGCAGCAGTTGGGTTACAAGAAGTGAAAGCAGCGAGAGCCTATCACGACTTGACCTGATGACACACCAGTACCCTACTCATGTGGCTGAGCCCATGATGACACTGGAAGACCTACGCTCGCAGTACAACTCCTGCTACACGTAAGTTGGCGTTGATGTTTTTGTCGGATTTGTTTTGTGTATGTATTTAATTATTTATTTTTCTGTGTGTATGGAGTAGTGTGGAGAGAGAGAGATAGAGAAAGTGTGTGTGTGTGTGTGTGTTAAGAATTGGATACATAAACAGATGAATATATAAGCATATTCATATACAGAGCTATACTATTGCTTTTAATACAGAGAGAGAGAAAGTGTGTGTGTGTGTGTGTTAAGAATTGGATACATAAACAGATGAATATATAAGCATATTCATATACAGAGCTATACTATTGTTTTCAATATAATTTAAGACACTCCCTTTATTCCTCATCTAACCCTATACTCTTCCATTATAGATGTGGCGTTAGTTGGAGCGACAATCACGTTTCTCTTGACTGCCGTGAGTGTGGTGGCTATTCCTTAGAGAGGCCCTGCCCTCTATGTGACGGCAAGTGTCGCAGCTCGTGGAGGAGAGATATCTCAATGGTGAGAACCTTTATCAATTTTGCCACTTTTTTCGTGCTCTTGGATTCTTTTTGATATCTGCGCTTGTCCTTTTTTTTTGTGAAGATGTCAGTGTTTCATCAACTTTAACATGTTGATAGCAATACATCATGAACTTTTTCAAGTTTATAAGAAATCATTATCAAGTTTTACATGTTAACAATGTTTTAGGATATTTTACATGTTGGTAAATATATATTATCAACTATTGTATGTTGCTAATAATGTCCTATCACCCTTTTTAACTGTGTATTGTTATCTTTCAGTCTCACAGTGTTGGCAAGGCACACTGGGAAGGTGAATGCGGCCTCTCTAGTGAAGACCGGCCAGCTGTCCCCTCCTTCTTACAAGAGGATGTCTTGGTACAAGGACTCGAAGACCTAACAACATCGTCATGAGTCTTAAGTCATTGAGGTACTCTTCTCTCAGAAGGAGGAAGTACTGTAGCAACAGCCCAGCAGGTCAGGTGTCATGTACCAGCTGCATTTCTCACCAGAAGATGTTTGTACTCATTACTGGCAGACACAAATATTTTCTAAGGCTCTTTGGAGTGGTCGCATAATGTGTCCTTAGAGATTTTATGGTTGCTTGTTAGGATGTATGAATATTTGGATGCCTTAGGGTTCCCTGACGAAGCGACAGATTGTGGTGGAAGCCGCAGGTCCCCAGAGAGAACCCGAGGTGGTGTTCAAGTGCAGGAAAGCTCAAGTGTTAAACAGGTGCAGAGATGTGGGAACTTACTTACAAACAGTCTGATCAAACTCAAAAGCATTACAATGGAATTAAGTTCTTCATTGTGAAGTATTTAATGTTCCAAATTTGTGATATTATCTTGTGATATTAGCTAGTACAAAAGTACAAGAAATATTAATAAAAAAATGGATATATAACATATTGTTGCTCAGCAGGCTTTGTGATCACCATATGAAAAGATGCAACTTTGCCCAACATTAAATA